GCCAACCCCATGGATCTCAGGCAGTGGTTTTCAACCTCCATAGGCTTGAAACACACCTTGTCAGACACAAGGCACCTCCCGGAAAATGCCAGCTCTTCACTTTCAATTGTTTTTTGACTACAGAAAAATAATAAAGCAATTCTTCTCTTGCAAAGAACACAGAGAAACCACAACAGGACAGAATGTTTTTCAGACTATAGATTCCTATTTGAAATCTGAATTTATCTTATGAGTCATGTGCAGGTGTTTGCACACATAATAGGTGCCTGTACACAAGCCCAGAGGCTGCTCTGACGCACTGTAATTACACTGTGCTGCAGCAGACTCGATTAATTGAGTCTGCCAGAGTGGAGTAATTACCGCGCTCCAGCCAACCTCCGCATCTCACATATCAGCATTGATAAGGTTTAGATAAAGTGCTTCCACTGTCACTATGAAGTGTGGGGAAGCTAACACACGAGATTCTCTGGGCGCTTTAATTAGACCAGATCTGAGCGCCGCTCTAATTAAAGCACCCCCCCCCACACACACACACACTCAGTGCATGCGTAAAAATGCCCAATAGTACGAATATTGTACAGCACCTTTTTAGCACCCTTAAAAGGATCTCAAGATACCCAAGGGGATCATGGGACCCAAGTTAAGAATCACTGATTGAAGGAGCACAGAAGTTCATGGAGCATGAATCTGTTGGTTTCTTTTTGTGCTGCCTTGCTGGCCTCTTTCTTTTCCCACAGAGGTATGAAACTGGAAAGCGCTTTCCTTTTTCCTGTCATCTTTATTGGTGCAGGAAAAGGATTCCACTTATTTTTCCAAATAAACACAAAAAAAGGACTAAACAGTAACAGTTTCTGATAATTTTTATATTGCATAAAAGCAGTGATTTGCATATGTGTGCCCACCTTTAAAGTGATCTGCATGTCTAACTCTAAGCTTAACACACAAGCACAGACAAGGAGGGGCAAAGAGCTAGCCCAAATGAGAAAGTGGCTAAGTAATTGTACGCAAAGCCTTGTCATGAAATCCTAGCAGCAAATTTTAAAAGTGTTGGGGGGGGGAAGCATTTACACCCATCACAACGTTACTGTATATAGTCTACATTCATCCCTGATGTCATTTCACTGAACTTATTGGAATGACACCACGCGTTAATTTGACCCACTGTTTTTTCTATGCATTTGGCAAAGTTTAGGATGCACCATTTAGGGTACTGACAATACCGGTGCTTTGCATAGTCATAGAAAGAATAAATAAAAGAGGAAGATTACTAATAGCATTTTCAATTACACTAGCTTGCATGCAAATGCTACAGCTTGTGAATGCTCCTGTTTCAGGAACGCACTGACTGCCAGCAACAGGGGGAAAAAATCCCTTTTTTCCCCTTCTGCCCAACCTACTTCCCCATTCTCCTGGCACTGGTCTCCCCCCTTCAAAGACCTATGCATGTTCTTAAAGTTAAGCCAATGCCTTTGTCTTTAAAGCATCAGGGAAAAGAGCACACGGGCCAATAACTTGAAGGAATTCCATTCCAGCCTCAAAAACTCCTCAGAGGCAAATTGCACCAGACCTACAGCTGATTTTCTGCTCTCTCCATTAGACTTTTACATATCTAGAATAGCTTAACCAAAGTCCATGGAGTAATTTTGCAGTTACACAGATCTGGGAGAGAGCAGGATATGACTCAACATCTACCAATGTGACAAGTACATTGTGAACATGTGTGCTGAGCATGAAATCAAACAGGCACTCCCACAGCTGTTAGGAATTTAAATATAAATGACCTCAATTAACAATTGCCTGATTTTGTAAATGTTCACACTAGGCAGTTTACTGCTAAACCACACACACACGCGCACACAGAAAAATGTGACAGATCATTCAGAACTTAGCATGTGTCCCACTGTAGAGAAACTGGTGCCTGAAATTAGAAACTCCTCAAGGCAGTTTGAATCTGAAACTGGTTTGTAATAATGGATGTCTCTCATACACTGAGCTAGTTATTGGGATGTTTCTTGTATGAACACACTAGGTAAATTTAATAGGGATTGTTGTGGAAAACTAGTAGGAAGGAGAACAGATGACTCACAATCAGTGGTTTTCAACCTTTTTTCTTTTGCAGAACCATAACACAAATTTGAATGGAGGTGCGGGCCCCTTTGGAAATTTCAAACAGCGGTGCACACACTTTTGAATTGTAAGTGTGGGTATTCACATGTTTTTAATTGATCATAGTCATCTTTGACTATGACCCCTTAGACACAGTATGTGGGCCCCCAGGGGTCCACAGACCACAGGTTGAAAACCACTGCTCAAGATAAAAAACTATTTTGTGAATACTTGAGGTTTGTTAAGAGGCAATGAGGGAATTATTACCTTTGAAGATTTTTCCTCCAATCCAGCTACCCTACAAAATTGGTTTGAATTAGAACAGGAAAAGGCCCACAACTAGAGATCAACATAACTGTAACAGGTTTTTAAAGGAGCACTTTGGACACGGGGAGGAGAGGGAGGGAGAGAAAGTTGTTTAAGGAGGACCAAGCTGAAATACAAATATTACATTCATGTGAGAAGACATGCATGTGGATTAAAATGCTTTTTATCTAAATGCTTTGTTCCTAGTATTGAAATAAATATACTCTGCTATGAAGAAAGCTAGTTTGTCTTTATATACTACTGTTTTTAGATTATGGGAGGAAAGATTTGTGGGTGCATGAATTCAGCTACACACTCTCTCTCTCTCTCTCTCTCTCTCTCTCTCCCTCTTTCTCTCTCTACACTGGTCCCCTACTTAAGATGGCGGGGTGTACTAGGCAAGGCACACCGTGGCCCCTGGGAAATACAGAATAGCTAAATTATTAACTGTATAGCAAGAGGGGATAGGATCAGTGCACCCATGGGAGTCAATATCCTGTGTCAGGGCTTTAGCAATATGAGTGAAGGATAGTCTGATGGATATAGTCACAGCTCCTATGAAAGTCATCAGGAATCCCTCAGAGTCAAGGTTGATTGTCTTCCACAATTGTCTTATCTGTAGGTCTGAAGGTGACTAACAAAGCCTATCCAGGATCATAGTTTCATAGTTTGTAGGGTTGGAAGGGACCTGAGCAGATCATCAAGTCCGACCCCCTGCCATGGCAGGAAAGAGTACTGGGGTCAAACGACCCCAGCAAGGTGATTGTCTAGCCTTGTCTTAAAGACCCCCAGGGTAGGAGCCAGCAGCACTTCTCTTGGAAGTTGGTTCCAGATCCTAGCCACCCTAACCGTGAAGTAGCGCTTCCAGATGTCTAATCTGAATTTACCCTCTGCCAGCTTGTGACTGTTATTTCTAGTCACTCCTGGCAGTGCTCGGGGGAACGGGGACTCCCCCAATGCCTGCTGGTCCCCTCTGACTAGTTTGTAACAGGCCACTAGATCCTCCTCAGCCTTCTTTTGTGGAGGCTGAACAGGTTCAGGTCCCGTAGCCTCTCCTTGTAGGGCCTGCCCTGCTGTCCCCTGATCATGCGAGTGGCCTCCTCTGGACCCTCTCCATGTTGTCCACATCCCTCTTGAAGTGTGGCGCCCAGAACGCCAGGATCAACAGACTCTGTTGCAGCTCAGGCACATGTTTCTGCATGGGGCAGGTGGTTCTGGGTTTTTGATTTAGTCCGCGACACACTGTTTCTGCTGCTCCCATTTTTCCATCTCCTGTTGTCATCACTTTAAGGTACTGAGTTTCTTGCAGAAGACTATCCTGCATTTGGACTATCCTGGGCCATGGTCTCCCATGAGTTGATATCAATGTTGCATTTTTTCAAGTTGGCCTTGAGGATGTCTTTCAAGTGCTTTCTCTGCTTTCCTTTTGAGTGCACACCTTGACTGAGCTGGGGGAATACAACTTGCTTTGAGAGTTTGGAGCCAGACATCCAGGTGATGTAGCTGACCCAAGTTGATGTCCGATGATCATCACCTCAGTCATGATCATGATGTTTGCTTGTGAGAGGACACTAATGTTGGTGCATCTGTTCATCCACTGGATTTGAAGAATCTTCCAGAAGCAGCACTGATGGTACTTCTCCAGTGACTTGAGGTGTCTCCTATACCTTGTCCACATCTCAGCTCTGTACATTAAGGTGGGGATCATGACTGCTTGATAGACAATGAATTTGGTTTTAGATCTGATGTCATGATCTTCAAATACCCATTTCCTCAGGTGTTTGAAGACTGCACTAGCACATCTGAGGTGAAGCTGGATTTCTCTCAATGTCAGCCTTCTGCAAGAGATGGTTTCCAAGGTACGGGAAATACTCAATGTTCTTCAGAGTCTCACCATGCATCTGAATTACTGGAGCTGGGGCCTGCTCATTAAGAGCTTGTTGATGGAGGATTTAGTCTTCTGAATGTTAAGCATCAGTCCCATTTTCTTGTATGCCTCAGTAAAGATGTCTGAAGGTCTGTTTCCAAGTAAGCACACACTACAGCATCATCAGCATGCTGGTGCTCTACAAGTCCTCAGTGGCCAAGCAAGTGGGAGATGTTAGAATCTCAGCAGCTCCAAAGGTGGACAAAGGCTGCAACAGAATGAGATCTCTAATGCCTTGGGCCTCCTTGCCATTAGATCAAGATCCCATTCTGTCAAGAAGCATATAGAGGCTGATGTGCAGCATTTTTTCCACAATAAAAGAAATCATGGACAAGTGTCTTCCATGGAAACAGTTCATGACTAAGAGCCTCCCGACCAGCTAGTGACAATGGGAGCAGAATTGTGAGGTCTGGAGGCTCTTAGTCATAAACTGGCACGAAGGTGGCAATTACAACAAGGTCATCTAGTGCCTGGAGCCAGGAATACGATTCAGCAGCTGTCACTGCAACTGAGCAGCCCTCTTCAGGATCTGCTCTGCTCACCCCATATAGGGAGGGGTCTAGAAAAGGTACCTAAACATAGTCTGGCTACCTTTTTCCTGACTGGATAACTGCATCCAGTGGGACTACCTTTACTGCAGTCAAAATTATCAAAGACAAACAATCAGCTTCAGGACTTGGAACTTCAGGACCATCGTGGACAAGCCTAACAGTGAAGGCCCAGAGCACTGCACCATGATTGTGGCTCAAGACACTCAGGTGACACAATGCTGGTGTCATTGCACTGAGCGAGACCAGGCAAGCAGGATATGAGCAGCTCGAAGAATAAGGGAGACGGCTGGCTATACCTTCTTCTGGAAGGATAAACAGGAAAGAGAATGCCAGCTTCATCGAGTTGGTTTTTCCATCAAGGATGAACTCAAAAGCCAACTCAACAAGTTCCCTATCAAAATTAATGAGTGCCTCAAGATTTTTAATCTTAAACTGGCAGGGAGACAACAAGCCACTGTCATTGGTGCATATGTCCCAACTCTTGATGCCGCTGGGGAAACGAAGGAGCACTTCTACATCAACCTGTGAAAGTCAAAGGAGTTGTGACTGCACAGATCTTTAGAAAATCAGACCATGAGAGGCAGGAATGGATGAACAGAGAGAGCTGACCTTTGAAAAACTGATCTTGGCAGATTATAATGGGGGGACGGTCAGGACTGAGGTGCACTGTGGCAGAGCCTGGGGCATGAGGCAAGCCTGGGAAAGTAAAGAGTGCTGTAGTTCAAGTCTGTAGGGGCGGAAGCTCACCCAGCTGTACTGCTACCAAGCATGTAGCCAGTGAGCAACTGTTCACCAGGGCACCCTTGGGGAAAACTAGGAGTAATGGTCAGAAACTCCTGGAAGACGGTTTCAGGCTTAACATTAGGAAAAACTAGATCCCAACTAGGGTGTCCAGATTGTAGAATAAGCTCCCTCCAGAGGTGGTACAATTGCCTACCCTGGAAATCTTCAAGAGGAGACTGGACGGTCACCTCGCTAGGGTCACCTGACCCCAGTTGTCTTCCCTGCTTGGTGCAGGGGGCTGGACACGATGATCTTTGAGGTCCCTTCCAGCCTCACAGTCTATGAACCTATGTCCACCGGTGGCAGATAGTGGAATGACCTTCAGGGAAGATTAGCTGTGAAATAAGCAGGGGTAGGGCTGATGATAAGCAGTCACAGACCAAGCAGCAGTACCACCAGGACGTGGTGGGGACAGCAGATGGCAATGCTTTCCCCCTTGAAAAGCCACATAGATCCTCTGACAGAGCTGTGACATGGTGAGTACAGGCGGCTGCTATTATAAGCCTGCACAGCCCCCAGCCATGGGCCTGCAAGTCCTCGATGGCAGCGCAGGCGGAAGATATTAGAATCTCAACAGCTGCGAAGGCGGATGAAAGCTGCAGCACAAGATCCCCAGTTGTCTTGGTCTCCTTGCCATTGAATTAAGGTCCCATTGCATCAAGAGCCAGGTGGAAGCTGACGTGCAGCAGCTTCTCCACAATAAAGAAGTCACACGCAGGCGTCTTCCATGAAACAATCATGGAAGACAATCCTCAACTGGGAGGGATTGCCAAAGAAGATTATTCCAGGGCTCAAGCCCTGTTTCTCCAATACCAATTCATAACTTTCAAGAACTAAGATAATGAGTGGGGAGGTGGGGAGAATCCCACATGGCAACATCTGGTACATAAGGATAAGAGATGGGAGCAGGAAGGGTGGCTAAGTTTTACTTCGGAGGTTGCTCAGATTTCCCTGCAAAGCGCTCAGCAACTTCCCTGAGTTACTTGAAAATCAGAGTTCTTCCCCTCCTCCACTCCTCTCTCCTTGCCTTAGGACTGATTAAATCTGCTCTCCAGTGGCTTTTCCTGTATGCCATAACAAACATGCCTGCAGGGCACTGTTAACTCAGATGGGTAAGAAAGCTATGCAGGATCAGTTAGGGCACTGCAGTGACAACAAAGCAAAGACAAAGATCAGGGGGCCTCATTCCCTTTGCACTGACTCTGGCTTTACACTGCTGGAATTTAATGGAGCCAGTTCTGATTCCTGCCGAGGTAAATTAGATCACAACCAGCCCCAGACACTAAGGAAAAGAGTAAAGAAAATCCTAGATTTGCAGGGAAGACAGCTGCAGGTGCCTTGCAGTGGCTGGATTATGCATTCTGTTGAGGACTGGACCCTGTGACCTGGGGAAGAGGCTTCTTCACTTTTAATTTCTCTGGACCAAATACTGCTTCCCCCAAAGTCAATGGAAGTTTGACTGCTGATTCCAGTGGAAGGAGATCCAAGCTCACAGTGAAAATTCAAACCGTCACAAAGGTGACTTACACAGGAGAAAGAGTTGGCTGTTGATGTGTTATAGGTGCAAGAAAATAGCTGCAAACTGGGGACATCATACAAGCAAAGAACTGATCACAGAAGACTTTGTTCTACTATGCCATTCCCCTCCCTCACTTTTCCACCTCCTTCTCCTCCCTGCCCAGTGCCCTCTCCTCCAGCCCCAGTGCCATAGCCACTCTGGATCACTGACCTGACCAGGACTGCTTATGGGACCAAGTGTGGGCAGTGGCTAGCCTATGAGGCTGGATGAAATGGGGGAACCACTGAGCCTCAAAGGGGATCAGTGGAATTTCTGACCCAGATCCAAGAAGACAAAATTATTTCCTGCATTTCTAATCTAAGGTGCAAGGGTAGAACTATTTATCTATGGTAATTTTGCGGTCCATTATAAGAGTTTCTGAGCACTTCATGCATGTATGTGGTAGCCGTGTGAGACAAAAAGAAATGCAAAAACCTAGAACTCTTGGTTCCAAAATAATACCTTTTATTAGACCAAGAAATTGCAAAAAAAAATGTCTTTTTTTTAATGAGCACTTCACTATCTTTCACACAACTAGTCTCACCCCACTGTGGGAGGAAAATATTGTTACCCCAGTATCACAGATGGGCAATTGAGATACAAAGAAAATCTTTGACCTGTCCAAGGTTGAGCAGATACTCTACAGCACAGCAGCAAACTGAGTCTGGGTCTTTTTAAACTAGCATCATAACCACTGGTCCTTCCTTCATCCTGGTTGTGGGTATTCCCCCACTCTCTCCAGAAAAGACTGCATTGCACCGGTGGCCGAAGTGATGCTTGCCTGTATTCTGTAGGCCTGTCAAAGTCCCACCACTTGCAATTAAATCAATTCGAGTTAAGCATGCTTACCAGCTTGCAAGAAACACTCATCCTGCTGCATGACTGGGAGATTACTTTGTAAAATTTCTGTGTGTCCTATTAAGAGGAATCATGTTTAAGACATACACCGTATTGTTATTCTCCAGGATTTAGGAATATAAACAATATTGTTCTTGTATAGTTAGCACTGTTCCCATTTCTTTTATCAGAACTTCAAATCTTGTCACTGATGATCAAAAGAAGTTACAAAAGTGTAAGATAGCTGTCAAAGATAATCCCGTTCTTTATTCTTATTGAGCAAGACAGAAGCTGCAGATATATCAGCTCTGCAGGATGCTCCAGCAGCTCTGAACTGCTGTTTAAGCCAATGTCAGCCCATCCAAAGAGGTTGAGTTGGACTGATGGGATCTGACAGTTCATCTTCCCCTTCACTCTCAATACAAAGCTCTTTGCCACACTGCCCTGATTTCAGTAAACTCCATGTATAGAGGATATATTTCCTTTTCACGGTTTCAAACATGAATATTATTATCAAAATATAAACATTTCCATTAAAAAAATGAAACACAGGGAAACAAGACTAGAAGATTATAAAGAAGAAAACAAATATTTGTCACTAATAAAAAAATGCAGAAGTCTGCAATAAATATTTTTGTTTTTTATTTGTGGGGAAAAAGAGCGCATGACGTGATCTCATATAGCTCATGAAGGACACTGCTGAAGGACTGTTAAGAGAAGAGACATGAGAATGAGTTAAGTATTGGAAAATGTATCAGAGGTGAAGACTTCAGGACTTCAATCTATCAAGCTTATTAAAAGAAGGCTAAGCAGGGACTTGGTCATAGTATTTAAATACTTACATGGGGAACAAAGCCTTGATGATGGATCTATTTTTCTCACTTTCCGCACTGTAGATGTACTTATCCCAACTAAAAATGTGTTTGGCCAGGATCATTTATTTTATTTATTTATTCATTAGATTTATATGACACCCTGCCTCAAAAAGGCTCCGGGTGCCTTACAATAAAAGACAAAATAACTTACAAAAGCAGATAAAACATTAAATAAGATATATGAGGTCTACAACAAACACTCCATCTGAAGTATCCCACTCAGCCTTGCTTGCTAAATATGTGCCCAAGTAAAAATATTTTGCAGTGTTTCCTGAAGATGTCCAGGCTCAGGCTCTGGCAGGCAACAAAGGGAGTTCCTGAGCAGACAGGCTACTACTGAAAACCTCCCACGCCTTTTCACCAGGCAAATTTGGCGCACAGATGAAACATGCAGGAGATTGCTCTCAACTGACCTTTGGGATCAAGGTCAAACATGTGGAAGGAGACGGTCCCTTCGGTATATAGGGCCCAGACCATTTAGTACTAGTATTTAGATTTATATTCTGCCCCATCCAGAAAAGCTCAGGGCAGCCCACAACAAAAGGCAAGCAACCCCCAAAACAAGAAACAACAGGCTGCTTAAAAGACACCCCAAAACTTTAAAACTCCACCCCACCTAGGGTCTATTTTACCTATTGACTTGATTGGATTTGAATTGATAAAGGCTACATTTGCTAAGGAAGCGTG